CCGTTTACCTAGAAACGCAGTTGTCTGCAAACATTGAATCTGAACCCGACTTGAGCCTAACAAAAAATCTGGCAGAATCTGACCACCAACCCGGAGACTCCAAATTCTCAACCATAGCACCCGCTAAGTTAGGTCATGGCTTGTCAGCAACAGCTGTCGTCCTATTATTGATGAACAAAATGAAAAGAAAAAAAATGAATGATTATCAGCTGTCCAAAATTAGGTTTAGAATCAATTTATGAAATGCATTCATCAAATGCTCTTCTAAGTAAGGAGAAAAATTAAAGTCGGACTAATTGCTGGCCGAAATCCAGCAGGGTGGGAGATGGGCTGTAACAACCCAAATGTAATATTTAAACCTGATCCAACAAATATTACCAAAATATAACCCAAATCGCTGTGATGGACTGGTGACCTGACCAGGTTGTTTCCTACTTTCCGCTCAATGACCGCTGGAATGGGCTCCAGTACCCCCTGCGACACACAAGGATAAGCGGCTGAGATCGTGTGTGTGTGTGTGTGTGCACGCACACGCCCAAGTCTGACGTACTTGGTGTAGTTCCATGGTGCTAGGATGAGCATTTCTCTAGTGTACATATCCACATACACGTAAGCACACATGTGGGTCTGTCTTGATGCTTTTATGCCCTATACCATTGAATGGAGTTGCATACAGTCCACATAAAGATTCTTTAGAGTAGAGTTCTACAGAGTATTCAAAAATACATTGAAGTTCTTGCACTGCAGCAGCACGATCCTACAGACAACAAACAAACTACCGCAAGGAAGAAGCAACAAGCAAGAGGGGTAGTGCACATACAGGAACATTGTGCTGCTTCAGTAGGCGCTTTCACTCAAATGCCCATGGTCTGTTATACTGAGGTAGCATATAGAGATTGTCTAGTTTTAAGTCAAGCCTGATCTTCAGTGCCTCTCTTACCTCACCCACTAAAACACACACAGCTGCCTCCATTCTGCCTGTCCACTAGATCCACCTACTTATCGTCCCCACAGGCTGAGGACTAAATGAGTTTTAGTATGTGACCGCAGGGGCAGGTCTGGCCAAGCCCTCTCACTGGAGCTGGACATTATCTTATTCAAACACACACATTGCTCTTGCCGATTCGATTTGGCCATTATGCAGTGGTGCGCCGGAGGCACTGTCTTGCTATTGGGTTTCTGTAAAACCTGTCATAACAAGGAGCAGGGCTCTTCCGGGCAGTGAGGTGACATCAGTTTCAGAGCAGACGGCAGGTGGGCTGGCTTAACTTTAGTTTCACATTTCACCCCGTTCGAGTCCAGACATCAAAGCGATAGTTTAGCCACAGCTACGGTCAAAGAGGGAACTTCTTTAGAGGCTTCAAGACAAGAGAAGGCGCAGAAAGAAATGCTTGTGTGAGTTGGAATGGTGGGGATACAATGCAATTTTTTCCCTCATTACTGCTAGGCTATTAACTTCACATGACATAGATACATGCACAGTTCTCATACAGTCTGCCTCGGAATTAGATTTGCACAGGCGAGAAAGAGAACAAAATGAAGCTACAGTGAATGCCATTGTAATCGTATTAGGCTGGCTGGCACGGAGAAAGAAACGTTCATTGTTGGGAAATTAGATCACGCTTATGAGAACATGTGGAAACATCTCATTTTTTTCTCCCAGGGAAACTCCAGCTTTGTCCTGCCACCCAGCTGTCAGTCAAAGCTGCTGTGATGGACAGCTGGTGGAGGACAGGGGTCAACTGTGTCCTGGGGTGGTGCTGAAATGAGGTGCTCCCAGCAGTGCAAGTTTGTTAGAGTGGACGGCTGAAGTGATGAACCAGCCTCATAGTTGAAGCCCATTTGGTTCTAATAAGGCGGGCAGGGTTTGGTGGCAGGGGTCATTTTAGAAGTCACTCTGCAGGAGGGCTTCCCCTATCCACACCAGACCTCCTGGTATGCCTGTGCTCCATTCCATGAGAGATCCTTTCCCCAGTGTGCTCTCATGAAGGAACATGCACCCTTTAAGCCACAATGATGGCCCTCATTCACCTCAGCCCACCAAGAATGTCCTGAGAAAGCCAACGAGTCATTTTCCTCAAAACAGAGGAAAAGAAGATAAAGGTCAGCTGGAGGCAGATCAGAGGAAGCCCACTCTTCCTGCCGTTTGGGAACAGGCCTTCAGGATGTAATGCTCTACTCAGCTCCGGAAGGTCCCCTATTGCCCATTTTAGCGGTGCAGTGTCAGCCGTACAGCCCTGTTCTGCCTCTCTTCTTTGAGGGGAAATCAGCAGGAGAGGCACTCTAAGGAAAGAGGGCCTAACCTATGCAGATAGCTGATGGAAATACACTCCCACAGGAGATTCTTGAAAGAATGTTATCTTGAGGTTCTGTAGTGCCGCTTCTATTGCAGAGGCTGCCTTAATAGGAGAGAGGTCCAAGGTAAACACAGAAAGGGCAGGGCAGTGTCTGAGCAGTCACTAAGAGCTCTAAATTCAGACGAATACCAGCACAGCGTGTCCTCCATCTTTATAAAAACACTGATTATGCACCTAGAGTGCCTTACTACCCTAAAAATCATTGACCTCACCCACAGTTAGCTTGTAAAATATGATTCACTTTGCTGCTGTGTCACATTGCTTCTGCCTAATTAAACAGCAGCGATCAGAGTACAGCACTGGCCAGCTGACAACACGGATCAGAACAAATTTAAATGAGACATAATATTCAGCTATATATTAACGAAATATGTGTTCATACTGAAGGTTATGAACTAGGTCTAGATTAGCTGAATTACACTGCCTGTCAAAAACTTGGGACATTCTTTCCAGACAGTGTTTGACTGGGTCTTACCAGCATGACACTGACCCTAAATACACCTTAGTGTTGGACAGTGTTGCTCTGGAACTGAGAGTTGGATTGAAAAGTACAATAAGTGTAAACTGTCCATCCTGCAAGAGACATGGCAAGAGCATCTCTAAGGAATGCCTGGAAAACACCTTAAGAAAGCATATAGATAATATTCGCAAAACCTGGAAAAAGTGTCCCGTGACCATATTGTTGATTTTCTATCAACATAATGTGTATGAGCAGTCAATGCTGTGGCTTCCAAGTCAAGATATCCAGAAAATCAGTTTGATCTGAGGTGTCGGCCCATACCAAATTCTGTCCTGGTCATGCATTATTGCCCTGATAATATATCCAGACATCTGTAATTGTCTTGTAAATACTGCATCAGCCTGCACGTCGTACAAGCTAAAAGCAAACAAATCACTAGAATCATATAATTGTTTGGTCTGTGGAAGGGTCAGCAATATCCTGCCTTTTGTACCACCATATATTGTTAAATGTCGTCATTGCAAAAGTGAGCAGTAGCTGTGTATTTTTAATGGTATGATGGAGTTTTTCTTTTTTGCTAAACATACACTTTAATAGTTTTCTGGTTTGATCATCTGGTCACAGATATTTACATGATAATATTTTCCAACAAAGAAACATGCTCATTTAGAACATCTTAATTTTCTCAGCTTTTTGAATGGCAGTGCAGTTGGATCAAGTAAGTAAAGTAAGTAAGTAAGTAAATTTTATTTATATAGCACATTTAAAACCAAAGTGCTTTACAATGAAACAAAAAGGATTCCCACCTTCCGAACACCACTACAATACATTCACACAACAGTGTACAGACCTCAGTCCACAGTTCAACGACTGCTGAATGCTAATCCATAAAAATGTGTTTTAAGCTTTGTTTTAAAAACAGTCACAGATGAAGCATGCCTGAGGTCACTGGGAAGACCATTCCAAAGTCTTGGTGACGATCCCCTTTATGTTTAAGACGAGACCGAGGAACAGTTAAAAGTGATTGAGACGCAGACCTTAAAGATCTTGAGGGCGCATATATACAAAGCATGTCCTCATAATATGCAGGTGCCTGACCATTCAAAGCTTTAAAAACCATCAATGCCATTTTATATTGGATTCTGTACTGTACTGGGAGCCAGTGTAAGGACACTAAAACTGGAGTAATGTGCTCTCTTTTCTTCGTACCAGTTCACATTCTGGCTGCAGCATTTTGAACTAGTTGTAAACGAGCCAGAGATGCTTCGTTAATTTCAAAATATAGTGCATTACAGTAATCCAATCTAGATGTCACAAAGGCATGAATGACTTTTTCCAAATCTGAAGCATTAAGAAATGATTTTAACCTGGAGACTGTCCTAAGCTGGAAGAAACTAACCTTGACCACTGCAGTTATTTGCTTATCAAATTTGAATTCAGTATCAAAAACGACCCCAAGGTTTTTAACTTTGTGTTTTTTATAAAAGGGGTTAAAGAACCCAGATTTTCTTTCAAGCTCTTGGTTACTGTGGGGGGACCAAACAAAATAACCTCTGTTTTACTATCATTCAGCTGAAGAAAGCTCTGGGTCATCTAATTCTTAATATCCATGATACATTCATTGAGTCTTCCTATGGAGTAAAGATTTCCAAGGTTTAAAGGTAGATATAGTTGTAGATCATCTGCGTAACAGTGAAATAAGATGTTATATTTACAAATAATTTGGCCTAGGGGGGAGCATGTATAACGAAAAAAGCACAGGGCCTAAAATGGACCTTTGTGGAACCCCAGATGTCATGGCCACAGATGAAGAGAAGTATTTCCCAATGTTAACAGGTTCTATGTTTAATATATGAGATAAGCCAATTTAGAGCCAAACTCTTGACCCCAACACAATGTTCCAAACGCTCAGTGAGTATATCATGATCGACTGTGTCAAATGCAGCACTCAAGTCCAGGAAGACCAGGAGAGAACAATCACCAGAATCAGCATTAAGTGAAAGATCGTTAGTCACTTTTAAAAGAGCAGACTCAGATCTCAGATCAAGGTAGACCAAACCCTGAATTGTAAAGTGAAAGTGTTACGGCACATTTGAGTTAGTAATTACCCAATGCTGATCTGCTTCATCCTAGGTCTACTACAGGTCAACGACACTCAGAGCGTGATATGTTGTTGTTTTCAGGATCCAGGCCAAAACCAGGGAGTTGCGGGAGCGTCAGGCCAGGGAGAGAGATTACGCTGAGATCCAGGACTTCAACCGCACCTTCAGCTCTGATGAAGAGCACACCTACGCAGGCATCGGCTCACTGGACTCCTCCATGGACAGTAGCCAGAGCCTGAACCAGCAGCCTCCAGGGCAGGAGCGGCCCCACAGCCCCAGAGAGCAGCCACTGGAGGCCCTGTATGCCCAGGTCAATAAGCCTAGGAACGGCCGGCCTCCTTCAGCAGACAGGTAAGAGCCTTTCTTAGACTCGTAGTTCTCGCGTTTTGCTGTGTTGGTCCTGCTATTATTTAAAGCTTCTGAAAATTTGAACATGGTTTTTGTGTTTCCTCTAAGATGTAGATAAAGAAGAGAAGATGTCTTTTAGTTAAAATGTAAAGGATAAAATGAAAGATTAGTCACGGAGAGATTATGTGAGTGTTCAAGAATTTGGTGCTATAGTGCTGAATGACCCTCTGGCTATTGACTGAAGGCTTGCACAAGAAACTGCAAGAAGTCCAGTTACCAGAAGATCTAAAGGTGCACTGGGTATTTTAGTTATGAAGCAGCTAAGAAACATATGCAGGAATGAGATGATGATGGGTTTGAAATTAAAAGAAGTAGTTTGTACTTTAAATAGGGTAGTATTATTAACCAGTGAAGCTTGTGTATGAATGGGGTATTGTGTGCAGTTTACTTGTGAGAGCTGCAGAGTTCTGAATAAACTAAAGCCAGTTAAGAAGTTTAACAAGGAGATCACTGAAGATGGAGTAGCAGTTGGGTTAAACAGTGACATAGTTTAGGATGGATATTGGGCAGTGTGCCAGATTGTGGCATATTTTGGAGGAGCTGCTTTAAAAAGCCATATACAAAGCAGCATGTCGTTAAAAAAGTTTTGTTTTGCCACCTGTCCTTGACCTACAGATTCAACTCTGGGAACAGCACTCACGCTTCACATATTTTTTGGGCTATCACAGGACAAAGGATCGCTCAGCTTTTATACTTTTCCCAGAACAGCTCCTGTAGCTTGTGTTAGTTTCCTCTTTATTCTCTGTCTTTTCTGCCTGTTGTGCATTTGAACATGGAGAGGACATGTTCGTGTGTCCTCTGGCGTGTGACTCTGACTCTGCCTGCGAAAGTCAAACAAATACAATAATCACGTTTCACCGATGTGTCCCGGCGGCAGGTCTTGGAGCCAAGGTAAATCATCAATAATTCTCAAGGTGTGAAAATTTAATAACAACCGGCCTGCTTTATTATCTCAGATCGTGTCAAATCCTCTCCCGGTCTCAGTCCCTGAATTGTACCGCCAGTCGCTGAAAATTCATCTATGTCGTCTGGTGAAAGCAAAGTCATCTGTATGCAATGAGGACGTGCCATTTTAAGGGCAAAGCATGTGCCTTTTTCTTTCTTTTCCCTTTGTTTTTTTCGGTGCAAGAAAACAAGAAAGCTTGCCAGTGTTTCAGAAGTCGTTGTTAAAAGTTTAATGTTGCACTGCCAGGCTGATGTGGTTGTTATTTTTGTTGTTGTTATTTCCTGGAGGTGAAAACAGTCTCTTTATCATCTGAAAGCGTTGTTGACACTTTGTCCTACTAATAATGATATTGTGCCAGACTGCTTGCATTCACAGCTACTTCAGCGTTCAATTTGAGACCTTTAAATGAAACATTCTCTTGTTCCTTAATTATCATATAGGCATCTGTACACACACCTATACACAAATAATAAAAATGACTCCATCATTTTTTGGGGCCCTCTGGTGTTTCTGCCTAAAAGCCCAGTGCATCTTCTCATTCCGTCTGTTATCCTGCCTGGTAGGATGTTTTTGACTTGGTTTTAGTTACACCTGAAAGGACAGCGTTCATCTCCTTGGCGCTTATAAGTCTCAGTGGACTCGTTAAGACAGATGATAATTACCTCATCGATGGTAATGGAATCAAGCAAGTGATTGACAGCTGCCACTCAAGGCATGTGACCTTTTTTGCAAGGCATTAGGAGACAGCCTGCTGCGGTTCTCTGCAGTAGCCCCTCCCCTTCCCTCTGGGCGGTAGATCTCCCACCATGACCCCTCCCTGTGCTGTGACCTCACCGTCCGTATGATAGCTCCACACAACCACTCAATAACCTGCTTAATCCCACTGCCAATACCTCTGGTGGCTGAGAGAGGCAAGCGGTCGATTCTTAACCCTGTTGACACTGCTGGACCGCGACAGCTTCAGCTTGGGATTAGCTCTCATAATGACTGCTGATTAAAATCCGTATGGTATAGCGTGTTTGTAAATTAGATTAGATTAACTATGTTTTTCACCATAGTGGAAATTTGCTTTGACTTTTTCTTATAGCTCATATAAAACAAATAAAAACTGATTAAAATGTATAAAGACCAAAAATCTGTAGTCCAATTCAGTAAGCAAGCAACAGCATAGGATAAGGTATAATTTGGGTGAGACTATTTTCTTTCTTGTGGGACAAAACAGTATTCTAAATGTTAGGTTTATCTATTAAAGATAAAGATATATAGTGATGCTTTTTGAGCTAGAATTCATGCTTAACTTTATATTAAAGTGAGTGCTCCCCCGCTCCTACTGGGGTGTTTCTTTGTTTCTTGAGTTTGTGGTTTGTAATTATTTCTGCTTATTGCTGCGGCCAGGTTGTCAAAGATCATTGATTCTCAGTTGGTGGACCAATTTAAACAAAAGTCTAAAATATCAAATATTTACTAACTAACAAGTAAGACAGTGAACAGAGTTTAGGAAAAGTGGAAAAGTTTTACAAAGTGTTTATGCCCTCTTTAATGCAGTGAAATTGTGTTTATTAGGATGAACATTGCACACTATGACCTAAATGTTCCAGTATTCCCTTAATGTGCTCTGCAAGTGAATCTTCACTTGGAAGAAAGGATCATGCTAAAAATGGAAATCACGGAAAAGACGATGCCAAGAAAGAATTACGCAAAACAACCACTGCATCTTATATATTGTATCATCCCTCCTCGACTTGTAAGAGGTTGAAAGAGACTGAAACCCGTTTTATCTGCTGCCCTTTGTTCTGGGTGTGCTTGGCCCGGCTGTAAGCTGGCGCGGTGCTGTGTGTTGGAGGGAGCGAGTTGGCTCCTGGTTTGCAGTGCGTGATAAACAGCTGCTTTTGTCTTCTCTGCTGAATTCACAATCATCGTCTCATTCTCTCTTCACGCCAACAGCACCTATTTATAGCAACTTGCATAGTGCCAATCTTAAGGGGGGAAAAAAAGTGATAATGCGCACAAACATGCACACACACACACACACACCCTTTTCTTGCCGCATTGGGGAACCTAATTGCAAACAGATGCACCATTACCTCTCACACAAATTTTTGAAATTATTACCTATTTTTTTTTTGGCTGGGCTATTTGTATATGTACATTTTGGCCTTTTTTTCTGGTCTGGAGATTTTCCATATTGTAGCAATGACACCCTGTAACCGCTTAACTGATCATATGCTAATTAGAGCTGGCAAACGATTAAAATAATTATTCATGATTAATCACAGTATAATGTGCGGGTATCCATGATTAGTTTGTCTTATTTGCCCAAATTTGACCCTAAAGAAAGGTTTTTTTGCTTGTTTCTTTTTTAAAAGCAGCACATTTCTTAATAGCTATATGAGTTGACAAAACAAGTTTCATTAGAATGACAATTTCATCAGTATTATTATTTTGTGAACACAAGATTCACATGAATTTAAACGTAAATCATGTCATTTTCATACACCCTTAAAAAATTGGTGCCGCAAAATATTCCATAGAAGAACCTCTTTTGCTTCCCAGAAGAATCATGTTTGAAAGGGAGATTTGTTAATGAGGTTTAAAGAAATTTTGCGTAATGTCAAGGTTCTATTAAAATTTAAAGGTTCTTCATACGCATTCTTTAACCTTTAAAATGGTTCTTTACGCTCACACATCTCATTTACAAAATGATTTTCTAAAGCACCATCAGCTAAAACCTTCTGTAGGAAAGCAGTTCTTCTGTGGCATTGTGCAAAGAACCTTTTATCTTTATCAGTGTAAATCAGGGGACACCAGTGCTCCTCCTGGAGATCTACCTTCCTGCAGAGCTTAGTTCCAACCTGCATTTAACATGATGATATCTTACATATCATATATTCAGTCAATGATTCCAGCTCCTCCATGCTTGCAGCTCTGTCGCTCTTGTTCATAGAGTTCATGGATTATTATTACCTCTCTCGAGGGAAATGGTAGCATTCTATGTTGCTAAGCCACAGGTCTACTGCAGGCGCTACTTTGGATGGTTTGGAGGGTCAACCTAGAAAAATGTGTTAACACTGTTAAAAAATTAGTAGTGTTAATAATTAATCACATCAATGTGTTATTAATGTGTTAAGTTTGACAGCCCTAATGTTCACACAAATCTGTCTGATGACTTAAAGGAGTTTGAACAGATTTGTTTTATCATTTTATCACTTAATGTTTCTCCCTTTGTTTTCTATTGTGAGCAAAACATCTCTTCTGTGTTTACATTTGTGTTTATGGGTGATTGGGAGAGCAGAGGGACTACTCTGATGTATTGGCGTTTATGTGGAGGGTGTGTTTATAAGCAGGTCAGCAGCGCTTAGAATATGAACCTCAAACTGCAGAGGGTTTAAAGTGCAAGCACTTCTGAGCAACAGTGCTTCTGTGAGAAATCCGCCTCCTTCTGCATAATTTGCAAGTGTTTATGAGAAATAATGTGATGGACTAGAGGGCAGCTTATCTTTTGCAAGATCTGAACAAATGCAAATGACGTGCCATAAACTTCAACCAGTTTTTGTTTAGGACTTGCCTGCTTTGCATATCACTTAGAAGGATGGGGTTGTGAAATTCGCTGTAATATTTGTCATTGTGGCTTTGAAATTAATCGCAGGCTTTCATTTTTTATTTAGCTCCCCAGGCCTGCAATCTGCATAAATGCCATAATGCACTTTGAAATGCATTCAGATTCCAGACAGTCATTCATGGCCTCAATCAGCGCGGCCCGGCTCCCTCACTGAATCAAAACAAACAACAAACAACCTTTTGCATTCCCAAATGAAAGCTAATCGAAATTTCATGGTGTCAAACTCCTACTATAAAAAGCCTCAAACCACATGCGAACGTTGACTGTTCATAATAAGCGGCTGAGCGAAAACTGTGAGTTCAGAGTCAGAATTCTAGAGAGTGGACTTTCTCAAAGAAGAGGGAAAAAACACAGATGCCCGTTCCATGTGTTTGTTCT